CTGTTCTCAATCCATGAAAGGATCTTCCGTCTTATCCCATGACTACTTAATTTACGTAAGAGCCTTTGGTGAGGCAACTCGTCAAAGGTTTTCTGGAAATCTAAGTACACTATGTCCACTGGATCCCCCTTGTCCACATGTTTGTTGACCCCCTCAAAGAACTCTAACAGATTAGTAAAACACGATCTGCCTTTACAGAAACCATGTTGACTTTTGCGCAACAATTTATGTTCTTCTGTGTGTCTGACAATTTTATTCTTTACTATTGTTTCAACTAATTTGCCCGGTACGGACGTGAGACTTACCGGTCTGTAAGTTCCATGATCACCTATAGAGCCCTTCTTAAATATTGGCGTTACATGATAGTCAAATAACTATGGTTTAGTTTTTAAGTTACTGGAATTATCATACAAATACATCACTTTCTCACTATACTGCTATCACTGTAGAACGCTGCCTTTAGCAGAAGCAAAAACATTCAAATGTGCATGAGACAGCATCCCTACAAGTTGTTAACTACTATTTGAATTGTTTTACACCGACGTTGACAAATTAACTTCTACATTGACAGCATCCCTTTGAAGCAACACTGTTAAATCTAATCAACTGCAAAATGTGAAATAATTCACTGACAATATTGTGACTTGACTTTTTGTTTGTTTCTCTCCTCTATGGCCATGTAAAAAGCCAACCACATACAATAGAAATTCACTGACTCTACAAAGAAAACAGTATGACTAACAATATGCACTATTATCAAATACAAGATGTATGCAAATAGGGAGGATTTTTTTCAGTGATAGCAAACTTTGTTATTTATATCAATAGTACATAAGACTTGACAGATTTGTTTAAGTCTACCACTTTTAATCAAAAGCAAAATTAAACCAAGAGTTGAAAAATTAAGATTTATAAGACTAACCAGTTGCTCAGTAAAGCGCTCTGCGTATGTACTAAATTGGGGAAGAGATTACAATAAAATCTATTAGCTCCAAAACAGTGGTAAACTAGCCACAGCAGATAAGAGAATTACATCATTAACTCCTTCTGACTTTAAGCTTTCATTAAAATTGTTCCTAGATCTTAAGGTCATGAAAATAACCCAAATATAAACAGAATGTAAACAAATGAAGAGTGATCTTCCTGCACCTGCAGGTAGACTACTGCAATGTCCCTTCAACTGCTGTTAGTAATTTTACCAAGCAGCAGCAGGATGAAATTAACAAGTTCTAGCCAGTTTCTCAAACACAATTCAGAGCTTTGCCTGCAGCAGTGCAACTGTCAAGAGTCAGTTTCATGTTGCTGAAGTTAAGAAGAGATAGGAGCAGCAGCAGAGAAAAGCAAAGATACTATTCACTGAAGGACCCCATAAAAGAGAAGATGCAGTATGCATGTAGTATAGGCATCTCTCCAGATCCTCCACTTCACAACTGGCTAAGCAGGAGGGAGTAAAGCAAGGCTTAGTCTACTCCAGAAGTTTGCCGGTATAGCTATACAGCAAACCCACTTAGCGTAGATACAGCTTATACCAGCAAAAACACTCTTACTTCTATAGTTAAATGCATTTTTTCACCAAAAGAAAAACAAATTATTAAAATAATTTTAAATAGACTTGGCAGAATTTGATTTTTATATAATTTCCATGAATAATATCATTGTTCATATTTAAACCTTTTTTCTGATTTTTATTTAAATGTTCACAGTTGTGGGACATTGGAGGAGGAGGTCAGACAATTATTTAATGACATAATGAAATTCAAGAAGTAAAAGCTTTATAGTTTAAAACAAATTATCACATCAAAATATACAAAGGAAATATTCTTAGAACTCTAAAGCTCTCAAGCAGCATGTTTCTTATTTTGTCTCACTGTACATTTCAATGATCATCCAGGGAAATTATTTTTTCAGCAGTTTATGTGAAATTGACATTTATTGACATTAACCGATAAAAATCAAATCCTTACAATGCTGATTATATTTTTCCTGTACAACATTACACCTTTCCTATTTTTGTCTTTCTTATTTTGGATCTTTGTTGCACAACAGAGTCACTGCAAGTGGAGAGAAATGCTTATGGTATATTAAAACTTTACAGTTCAGGAAAAGAAAGATGCCTAGTACTAACAGCACCAATTATTAACTGCTGTAAAGATCAATTGGATCTTGTGGCACTTATGAAAAGCAACAGATGGCAAAGAGTGGGACACTACAACGATGAAGACAAAGGGGATGGTTTTTGCTCAGATTGCTTCACCCCATACTCCCTTCAAATTAATAGAATTTACACCTATGGATATTACAAGTATTATAGAAATAATAAAATAGCATCTTAAAGTGCACAATGGAATTTATCTTATGAAAAGTTACATGAAAAAATGTAAGGCTTAAAAATGTTTTAAGATGTTAAGTACTGTTTGAAATCTTTTGTACACTAACCAAAACCATCTACATTTACCAGGTTTCATAACACACACACCACGCCCAATGCTGAAAACACTCAGCATTGCCCCTCAAAGCACTTATAGCCATACAAAACTGCAGAAATCTAATATTCCTATCCAATGATAAGTAGATTTCAAGTACAGATGGAAAAGGCAAGTTGAAAGAGAATATATGAAATGTGATCCTCCAGGTTTACATTTCAGAGGAAGAGCCAAGCCTGTGTCCAAAGCATAGAGAACTTCTATCTTCAGAATTACCTATTAACAAATATTGGATACCCCATCATCTATTCCTTTTTTTTCTTAAAATTACAAAGCCAAATGATATAAACTATTTGTTTAAAATGAAGCTATTACCAAGCAAGCTGCTTCAACAGGTACGGATGCAGAAACCTGAGAGCCAAAAGTGAAAGAGCAGATCAACCAGTTGGTCTCCTTTCTTAAACAAGAAGCACTTTTTAATTAAAGATGGATTGATTTACACAATAGGCACTGACAGAGATACAACTGTACAGACATTAGGTATACAATTAGTTCAGTTACCATGGAAAGGAAAGATTGTACTGTGGTCAAATACACACATGCTGCCATGCCATTTTGTCTGCAACAAATTATACACATTCATCAAGAATGCAAGACCTTGATAGCACCCGAATCTGACAGAAGACTGCTTATTCGGCTGCCTAATTTTTTCTGCCTAGGATTCTGGTGGAGAAGCAGCGTACATGGAGACTCATCAGGACTCAGATAACTGTAGGGCAGCGACACTGAACCAATGGCTCTATCACCAAATAAGGTTCAAGGCCTTACACATGGCTCTCAGAGGCCACTGGTCTCATAGGCACCTCTTTTGTACTATACAGTGCCATACAAAAAGAGTGCTAGGCAAATGGCCAAGAGTCTCTAGGCTGCTTCTTATTCCTCTCTTGCAGACAAGAAAGTCAAATGAGAAAAGGAGTATTGGGCCAAATTCATCAGCGACATATCACCAATTAAGTTAATACCAAGGATGAATTTGGCCCTTGTGGAAAGAATGCCACAAAAATCACAATTATGAATTCTGACAGCCTTGTAATGAGGTGTCAATGCATGAAAATGCTGCACTGTAGTGAAAGTCATGACTCAACATCATGGCATGATCCTCAGAATGAACATGTTGTGGATCTCCATGACTCCATTCACTGGGTGAAAGCTGGATCTACCCTGAATCCTGATTATTTATGGACCCAAGACCCTAAACTGTACGGTCAGAAGAGAACAAATCTAGCTACCTCCACAAAAATAAATCCAGACCTCCACAAATCTGAGCATCACTGCAACAAAAACCCAGATCCAGCAATTGGATGCTGTAGGATCTATCCTATTTTGGCCATCACCCAAATTCTATGACATGAATGAAGTATGGCTGCTCCTATGGCACTAAAAGTTCAGACCCCATTGCATGCCAGCACTTGATGTTAGCTAAAACCTAGATCTGGCATCTGGAGCTTGGCAGCTTTTTGGCCAACACTGTACAAACCTAAATAAAAAATAGTCTAACACTGAAAAAATCTGGATCCTGATGCATCTCAGCCCAATAGCACTGGAGAAACAAAATCTTGTACCTGGATCCTGGTATTTTTAACTCCAGTCCCCCAAATTCTACCCTCTAAACAAAACAAAAATAGCAGGTCCCAGTGGACTATAAAAAAAAATAAATTAAAAATGTAGACCCTTTTGCAAACTGGCACAACAGCAACACAAAGTATCACAGAATCATAGAATATCAGGGTTGGAAGGGACCTCAGGAGGTCACCTAGTCCAACCCCCTTGCTCAAAGCAGGACCAATCCCCAATTTCTGCCCCAGATCCCTAAACAGCCCCCTCAAGGATTGAACTCGCAACCCTGGGTTTAGCAGGCCAATGCTCAAACCACTGAGCTATCCCTCCCCGCTAAAGTAGATTCTTCTTGAACCAGGTCTTTTTTAAATCCCAAAATTCTTCTAGCTAAAGAGAAATGCAACTCCAATTCTACTGAAAAAAATCGACACACTGCTCACTAGCACTGCAAAGACACATATGTGTACCCAAAATCTGTTGGAGCCTACATTGTTTTTACCTCAAGCTCCCAAACTGTACTGTCAAATTAGACAACACATGTTGCTAATCTCACTCAAACAGAAAAATCCAGACTCCAACACTTCCTGATGCAAGAACAATGCAAAAAACATATATCTGGCATGTAGGTCTTGCCAGATCCAGCAAATTTTTATCCACAAACCTCTAAATTCTACTGTTTAGAATCTAGCTGCTCCTAGGACATCACAGAAGTCTGGCCCCTGACACAATGAGCACTTGAAACAATCCAAATATGGCTCTGGCTCCAGCAAGGTCTAGCCCAGTTTTTCCATCTCTGAAGTTTTACCTTTTGGCTGCACCCAAAGTGAAGTTTTCCTTTTCTACACTGGTTTTCTATTTAACTTGTACAATTGTACGGGTGGTGAGGAGGGTAGCAGAGTTACAGGGAGTGACACAAAGTGGAGGCTAAGCAGAGGGGTCCTAGCTGTGTTGGGGCCTCACCTCCTGGATGCGTTTGCGGGCACGTTGCAGCACCTCTTCGTAGCCCTTCTGCCGCAGTTCGCTCAGGCTCTCGTAGTACTCTTCAGGGTCGTCGGTCTCGGTGAAGAGCACCTGGGAGAGGATCTTCCACCCGCAGGTGTCTAAGCTATGGCCCAGGTAAACCTGTAGCTGGTAACACAGCGCGTCCATCTCCTGCTCGGACAGCTGCGGGGCCCCGAACAACACAGTCCACATGCTCGAGGGCTCCTCAGGGAAGACGGGCAGGCAGGGCTCTAGCTCCGAGTTCACCGAGCACAGCTGCTGATGCACGGCCCGCAAGTCCTGGAAGGAGAAGAGGCCGGCCCAGCTGCACTCCTCCCCCGGGGAGTCCGCGTCTGCGGCCGGCTCGGTACCTTGCTGGATGGGTCCCGGCAGCAAGAGCAGAGGGGCCGCGGATTCATCCTTCACCAGCTCCAGCACCTCGATCTCCTCGGCCGCACTTGCTGGGCTCGGCGCCGCCGCCTCCGTGCTGCGCGGCGGCCTCCGGACCGGACTGGCCTTCGTCCGCAGCGGGCTCTTCAGCATCGCCTCTGCCCCGGCCGCGGCGCCCTTCTCAGAGCTCCGGAGCAGCGAGTCCGCTCGGGGATGCGAGGAGCTCCTGGCCGGGCTGGAGTCCGCCCCGCAGGCCGGGGTCCGGCGGGCCGCGGGGACGCCGGCCTGGGCAGGGGCCCGTCGCTCCGGCCCCCCGGGGCTGCCCCGGCGCAACTCCCGCGAGCCGCTGCGCTGCCGCTGAGCAGTCCGGTTGTGGCAGGTGATGGCGAACTTGCCCTCGATCTCGTTCCAGGCCACGATGAACGCGAACTTGTGCTTCTCTCCCTCGAGGAAGGCGTGGGGCCTCACCGCCACCCAGTCCGCCTCCAGCGTCTCCTCCAGAGCGAAGGCGGACATGGTGTCCCGCTACGCGCCCGCGCTAGGCATCCGCATCCACCGCCGGCTCACTGCCCGCCTGCAGCCATCTTGGGGGAGAAGGATGCGCCGGAGCCCGGCCGGGGGGGGAAACAGCCGCTCGCGAGCTCGGCCTCCTGCTGCGGCTCGTTGCCCAGCGCGCGCGACGCGGGCTGCGCCGGCCCCGCCTCCCGCCGTGGTAGCGTCCTGCACCGGGCGGGCGCCGCCGCGGACAATACAGCTCCCAGTACAGGTACTTCGCACGATCACGTGGGCAGAAGCAAGCTCTGTTTACAAGCGACGCGGCCGCTGCGGCATCTCAACCCGCCCTAGGGCCCTGTCCCGCCCCCTGGCTACTTGCTGTCCCCACCCCTCCTCCGGCTCCTCTGCTGTGAACGGCTTGGGGCGCAGGCGCCCGCTCCTCCCCTCCCCCACGCTGCCAGACTGAGCTCCCCCTGCTCCACGGGGATGCTCTTCCCGCTCCCCTTCCTCAGCTGTCACCGGTCCGTAGCCTACGTCAGGCTCAACTGAGGGGCGCGAGGAGCCGCACGTGCGCCGTTCAGAGTCACGACGGCCCAACGGCCAAGGGGAGGGGGAGCTGGGGTCGGCTTGTCCTGGGAGCAGGCGCAGGCGCAGTTGGAGGGAAATAAAAGAAGAGCAACAGTTCGGGAGAAAAGAGCCTGTGTCGGCTGAGGCCTGATCGACACGTTACCCTCCTAATCGCTTCTGTCAGGGGGATTTAACTGGAGTCTCGCCTTTCCTGCAGCGAGGGGTAATTCGAAGTGAATCCCTTCGCCTGACTCCACAGCTACTGGCTCTGGCGGATGGAATGTCCGGGCGAAAGTGTTATGGGGTGCGGCCACCTCTGGGATAATGGGGAGTAAAGGAGGAGGGTCAATTCCTCCATCTCTGCCAGTTCTGGGGCAGCTCGACTTTCACTCTTCTTTTTGTCTTTTAACACCCACTGTCTCGCTGGGTCACACGATTTAGCTTCTCTTCCATTTCTTGGCACATCATCCTGTTTTTCCTTGCCACAAATCTGTAATCCCAGAACAACGTCAGGGGATTCTCCCCTCATTGGGGAGTCAAAGGGACAAGCAACTAATCACTAACCCATCCTGCCGTTTCACTTTCTCCTCCACTGTCCTAGCTCTCACACAGCCTTTCGTTTCCAAAATTCCTTCCCTTGTTTTTTCGATTTCAGTCACCCAGCCCAGGAAAGGATTTAATTGGCATTGAAGGACATGTAAATCCCATGTTGCAATAATGAAGCCACATTCACTAATGGCGGGTGGAGTTGGCTTGGGATTTTTTGTACTCTTCACATGCCCCAAATACAGTCTTTCCTGGAGAAATGGGAAAGGGTTTGGTGTTTTATGTAGGTTATCTTATTTCCTTATATTGAATTACTCATTGTGATTCTTGGGCAACTATTACACAAGTTAATAACAAACCCCTGTTACCAGTGACTGAGACAAATAAAGTCTGTTGCTGGTACTCCCTCCCTTCCTCCTGACTAGAAATTGAATAAATGCATCCTGCATGACATCGTAAAATCATCAAACTGAGGTGCTGGAATACCTCAAAAGGATAATTTCCATAGTCAAGGGACCTCCAGCAAGAATGCTCACCTCCATCCTGCCTCATGTCCGTGGATAGGTAGCAAAAGCACTATGGCAGATAGCAGCCTCTGTGATAGGACTTGGGGATGGAAGCAGTCTTTGAAATAGCCAAGTCTTGGGTAGTTTTATAGATGATATCTTGATGTAAACTGAAAGCACCAAGGCACAGCAATTACGTGCTCATGTTTGCCTGCCCTACTTAAAGGTGGGCAACTTTATTCTGCATTGGTTGAAGCTTCAAGTAATTCCAAATACACAACATACCATATCTAAACTGGACAATTGTACTGTAAGGACCACATCAAAAAAAGAAATAACTAATCACCTGTAATTCTGCTTCTCCTTTGATATCATTTGACTGGATTCCTGCTTTTTGAGTCTCAGTTCCTTAGTATGAGACTGGGTGAAATCTCTAGCTTTCAAAGATTTTTGGCACTGAGAATTCATCCTCATTCTGAGACCTACTGCCAGTGTCATGGTGCCCTTTAGAATGTCCCATTTCACTTCCTGGATGAGCGGGAAACAGAATTCTCCTCAAATTTAAATGTAACAACAACAATAGAGGCCCCAAAATATTTATATGATATGGCAAGACCATTAAGAAAATTAATGAAGTAATTGAAAAATGTTGCCCCCACCCTTTTAGATCTGATGGGAGGTGGTACATGAGTCCTGAATCTTCTCAAACAAGATTGTGTCAAAGTCAGATTCAGGACTCACATAATTCATTAGACCACTCTGTTTATTAGCAAAGCGCTTTGCCAATGCACCCAGATATATGAGCCCCTCTCTGAGGCTCATGCTAACTTATTTATACAATTAAGCCAAAGCCAATTTAACATAAGAGACAAAAGGAAGCAGAAACTGACAAATATACATACATATCTTATTTGCATACTAACGTTTACCAATCTTCTAGCTCAGTAGGAGCTCTAAGTTAATTAGTTTGAGGACCCATTGTCTCACACTCCTTAATGTTTCTCTTCCTGACAACTATATTTCAACAAACTCTTCAAGCGGCATTTCTTTAATGAATTATAATTTCAATATAATTCATTCTACTTTCACAATTGTCAGAGAAGCAGAATAAGTAATTAAAATGATCCCTTCTCTAATGACAGGAATCCTAGGAGTCTCTAAAAAAGTCCTAAATTTGGAAACAACAAAGTTTGAGGAGAGCCTCTACAAACCCGAACATTCTCCAAACATGGAGGACCAAAGACACTGTACAAAGCCATCTCATGGACCCTGGAAAATTATGGTGACTTCTTGAATGCCAAAACTTAGAGCTGGTGGGAAAAGTGAGGGAAATGTTGACTCAGTAGCAAACAGCCAGAGACAGTCAGGCTGAGGATGATATAAGTTTTGTACTCCAAATCAGGTATGCAGAAGGAAATGCATTCCTTTGCATTCAACCATTGGACCAGACACATGCAGAGTGGTGTGGAAAACATGACTATACCAAATATAAAAGCTAGGAGGGAAGAACATCATCTCAGAGAAAAACTGGTTCGAAAAGACAGATACTCCAATAAAAGGTAACTTCTATCTATCATGTAGGTTAAATGCTAATGCAATTCAACAATTATAAATCAAACATAGCTTCCAATGTGAAATTGTGTCCAGAGAGGAAAGCTATAGACTGTTTCTGTCAGGTATTCAGAAAGAAACTCTTCAGGAGATGACTGTAAATATCAATCTGATTTTGTCTTTAATAATGCACAAATGAAAAAATGTCAATGTGTAATACATACCAGTAAATATATCCAATCTTCCTACTAGTATTAGTTCTTTTGAGACAATAAAACTGTGGAATCAGTATCTCAGGTCTTTGTGATCCCTGATGGACATAGTGCTGAGGACTTACTCAGAGAGGGATGTATCACCATAAAAAGGAAAAACTCAAGATTGACCCAACAGTAGGAATTCAGTCAAAATCGTATCTTAAGAAAAGGAATGGTTTCACTCCTTGACAACAGTTAGGCTGCCGGTGTCCTGACACTACAGCTTGTCATGCTGACCAATACTGTCTCATTTTTTCCTTGTATGCCCCCATCGGTCGGTCTGTTTCCATCTTTCGTCTTCTGTTTTATACTTAGATTGTAAACTTTTGGGGGCAGGGACTGTCTGTTCTGCATTTGTAAGCACATATCACAGTGGGGTCCTGGTCCATCACTGGGACACCTAGGTGCTATGATCATACAAATAATTAATAATCATCATCCCAGGGCCAGCTAAAGATGAAAAAAAAAACTTTGAGACACTGCTGTCACCTGGGAATCTATGAGCAGTGCTATATCTAAAAAGAATCTGAGCTGGCAAGCCAGTTAAAAGCTAGATTTGCTATCTCATTGTAATGTGTAGTGGTGAGATAACTTCCATAGATTCCTCAATATGTTTTTTCCTGCCCACCAGTATCATCTACAACTTATCCAGATTGAGCCTGTGCCAGCTAGTTTTCAGACAGGATCCTAATTCAGCCAGGCACTAAGAAAACAAGAAAACTACAAAAAGAAAATGCATGCACTGGCTCACAAAAGCTTATGCTCAAATAAATTTGTTAGTCTCTAAGGTGCCACAAGTACTCCTTTTCTTTTTGCGGATACAGACTAACACGGCTGCTACTCTAAAAGAAAACTACAGAATCCAGGTTCAGTGAGAAGGAGACACAAAGCTGAGTATTATCATCATACTAATGTTAGTACGGTTCAAAACATTTTCATAATCTCCACTAGCAGCCTCATATACAGTAAATGTTGAATAGGAGAGGTGTCAGGATGAAACCCTGTGGAACCCCACCTGTGAGTGCCCTCAGAGAGGAATAACAATTGCCTATCACAAACCTCAGGGTCCTTCCTGAAATGAGTAATGTGAACCACTGTACAGTGATCTCACCCACACCTGGATAAATCATCGTCTGTCTATTAATGCCCTAAACAGCAGAAATGTTCTTTAAAATGTTTGCTTAAACATTCCTATCACCTAATTTGTGACTCCTACAGAAAGAAAAGTGCTTAAGGCTTAACCATAATTACATCCTCTTGAATGGAATCCAAATGTTTAAAAACTTTGCATAAGCTAGTTCTAATGCTAAGTCTTTTTGAGAAACCCAAGTCCCATCACTGTCTAGGAAGCCTAGCATACTGGGAGAATTTAAATAATTTTCAAACACTTCCAGTCTCCCATGCTGTTGTAACGTCATTTATGTCCACATTGTCACATCCTATGTTTACCAGTTATGCTATTGTAGTTAGAGGGCTAGTCAATCAAATGGTATGAAGCACTGTAGCAGTGAAGGTATTGTTTTTAAAACTGCCTCTGTTTTGAAGAATTGTTAAGTTCTGGCATATCTATGTTTTACAACAATTTTGAACAGGTTGTGTTGCTAGTGTGGTTCAAATTGTAATGCAAGTAAGATAAAATGCAAACTTAAATCTACTGTTTGTAAATATATTTTATAGAATTTAGCAACTTTTCTAAAGGTGCGTCTACAGTGAGGCAGGGCACTTGATTGCATGAAGTGGTTGTTTGCCCTTGTGATGGTTTAGTGCATGTAGATAGCAACATTTTTACACTTTGATGTGACCACTTATGGCACATCTTTCAACTTGGGCTGTATCAATGCATTCCAGGACTCTTTAAGTACCTATTTTATCATGCCCACAACTGTTTTCTGAAAGCAGAGACTTTTGGTTAATAAAAGATGGCATGGGCTTAAAGCAAGAAATTGATATT